ACCAATTAGATTTTTTGTTTTTTGTTTGTTTTTTATAAAGTGGTCTACAGTTGTGGAAATAATGTTATGTTATGGACCGGTCTGTGGACCAGTCTGTGGACCAGACGGTGGAGGTCCAGCAGGTCAGAGACCAGGTTTTAGGCTCTGGATATATAAGACTTTTTTTTTTTTTTTTGGTTCAAATTGACATTGTTGGTTGCCCTGGTAACCAGTGCCGTGTTGGTTTCTGTGACTGTGCAATCTTTTCTCATTTCCTGTCTCAGTTGTTGACTCCTAACATGATATTTCCTGTCCCTTCACTCCGGTCTTATTGTCACTTCCTGTCCTCTACGTACATCAGCTGTGATTTCTGGACCGTGTTGATCAGAGAGGTTTGAACTCCTGCCTGTTGTTGTTTCCTGTCCCTCCGTCTGATTCGTTGACCCGTCAGTTCCAACGTCCACCGGGTCTTTTAGTCGAAATGGAAAATGAAAATCTCAAATAACGGCAAATGTTTCTAAAAACCCTGATGATAAAAACCAAGGACAGATGCAAAAAAAGTGTTTGTTCAGCGATAAAAACTCTGAGGAGGATAAAAACATTTAAATCATTTTTTCTCTTTGTTTGCAGCTCATTTAAAGTATTTAAGGCTAAAGGAAAAAAAACTGCAAACACAGAAGAGTTTCTCTCCGCAGACTCTGACTGGTGTTGCTTTAATTAGGTTCTCAAATGGGCCACAAATCAAAGTTCTTTAAAAACTCCTGACTTTGGCTGAGGGTTTGAAGCTGGCAGCCGACGACGTTATTCCTCTGGGGGGCAGTTCATCACAAACTGCATCAAAAACCACCCTCTCTCCACCGTTTACTCCTGTTAGGTCTGTCAGACGAGAGCCGAGGATGAGGAGGAGGAGGGAGGAGGGGGAAGAGGGAGGGGGGTGAGGAAAAAATGGCTGAGGAGGTAAGGAAAAGGAATGAAGTCAGAGAGAGAGAGAGAGAAGTGAACGGGGCGTTTGGATGAAAACAAAGAAAAACCAACACACACACACACACACTGCTGACAACAGTCATGTGACCGCCCCCCCCCCCCCCCCGTGCCTTTTGAATTAATACATTAATCAGAGTCATTAAGTCGTACAGCCGTCACACACACACAGATGTGGCAGCAGCTGCGTCTCCGTCTGTGAGTTTGTTCTTCACACGTCAAATTCTCAACTTATTTTTTCACTGCTTTATGAGAAAAAAAGACAACGACGACTAAAACATACAGAACAGGAAGTTGTTCCAATAGGTGGTTTAAAAAAAAAAACATATTTTGGACCAAAGGAGTGTGTGGTGAAGGATTCTGCCCTGTGTCGGCATTTTCTCTTCCTACAACGTTTTTTTCCTGCTG